CCCCAAAACCCCAAAACCCCAAAACCCCACAGCTGATAAACCACGTGGAGATCAGAGATTTATAAAAAATAAAATATATATTAACAATATGAACGTTCCTGCTTGTGATGTTAAGAAGTGCAAGAAAGAGTCCAAACTCTACCTTAGCAATAAGAACATGTACTTATGTGAGAAATGCTTCAAAGCAAGGTATTGGGGTTTAGAGTTTAATCATATTCATAAGTACCCTAAAGAAGAATTTGTAAACCTAATTGACCCTGAGGATGCAATCGAGACCATAGATAACCTTCATCGATGCACTCAGATCCTATTGGAGGGAACTGAAACCTTTGATGAAGAGCATGAAGTTGAAGAATGTAAAGCCTTAGCGGCTAGATATGAAGAAGAAGTCAGAGGTCTTAGAACCAAACTTCAAGCTTCTCAATCAAATGGATCCTACTACGAATTTACACACTTGGCAGATACGGCTCAGGATATTTTGAGAACTCTCAAAAATGAAGATCTGTTGAGGGAGCTTGCAGTTATAAAATTGTTAGAACAAAGTGATGATGCTAATGTTTCTGCAGACGAAATCGCTAAAATGAAGAGACAGCTCAAGAAGGACTACGACGACAAAATATACGAAAACAGAGAAATAGCAAAGGAATATAGTCAAAATTTACTGGATAACGATCTTCTCAAGAAAAAGCTAGCAGATTTGAAGGAAAAACACGAGAAATCTGAAGCTGAAAAGGATCGTATCATTGAGGAAATTATCGCAGAAAATAAAAAGCTAACTGACGAACTTGCAATAGAGAAACAAAAGACCATGGAGGTACTCGAAGACAGAGACCAGGCTATTTTCAATGCCCAACAGGCAAAGGAGGAGGCTGACAAGCTCAAGGAAGAGATCAAAGCAAAGGATTCTGAGATTCAGCAAATTAAAGGTTCGGTTTATACTCAGAATATTTGACTACTCGATTTAGTTTACTCTTTATATTTCCTCATTCAGTTTTTACGAATTGGTTTTACTATAAAGGAAAAGAATAAACAATCCAACTATAAATCAAAGCAATGTAAAATAGCAACTGCTAAAATAAATTTTATTATAACATCATTCCTACCACGTTTGAAAATACTAAACTATACAAATTATCTTTTAATGGAAATTATCGACTTCCACCGATTCTACAGTTTTGACTTTTAAACAACCAAAGAAAATAAATTAACTTTGAACTCTGAATTTGAGATTTTACCACTTGTTTGGTTTTAAACATTTATTTAATAAAATAGAGAGCCATGTGATTGATGGAGAATAGGTTCTAAATACTTATTTGAATAAGAAGCGATACCATAGCTTTTTGAGATGCCTATTTCTGAAGTGTACTAAAAGTCGATTTTATAGTTTATAATAAAGTATAGGTTTTCTTATGCTTATATACTTGAAGCAATCAATACGGATAAAATTTTGATTGTAAATTAAAATAGGAAATGTATGATTTTATAACTTCTCTTTAATTTTCAAATTGGTTGATGATTCATTAACATATTTCTAATAAATAAAGCATGAAAAATGTTTCTAAGATCTCTGAACTTACAATAGAGAAAGCTAATTTAAGCAAGGAGGTGGAGAAACAGTACAAAGAACTGGAGAAAACAAAATTAAGCTCTATAAAACTTATTTTAAAGACTCGAAATTTTCAGATTTGTAGATCTTAAGATATATTTAATAGTCACATTTTTAAGAGTTAACAAACACAGATTTTAATAAAATTACTTTTCAACATGATTAAAAATAAAATTCAACTAATCCAAATCTTCTCCTAAATAATCCATACCCCAAAACCCTGGTCACTTCTAAAACCCACCTGCCTCACCCCAACACCTTCACTTCCTTCTAGCCCCAAAACACTCCCTCAAAATTCCACTGCTCCAACCCTCAAGCCTCCGCTCAATAACCCCCTACTCTATTTCACCTAAACCTCCATCTGCTCCTACCAGGTTAAGCTTGTCCTGCTACTCTTACTCTGAGTTCGAATCCTTCCTCGATGAAATCACTGGGGAGAACTGGACTTTTGGATCTGACACTTATAATATGTGAGGCCTTCCTCTCTCTCTGTATGATACGAAACAGATGAAAGTGTTAGTCAAACTTAAGAAAAGAGTTCCTGATGTCAAATTTGTGGACATTTCATATATTCCGGTTGATAACGAAGAGGCTAAAGAGTTACTGGCAACCTATTTTCCGAACAAAGTAAAGGAGCTTAGTTTTAACTACAATTCTTCTTTAGGATGAATTAGTTATTACTATGAAGCTTTGTTATCAGTTGCTTCTTGAGTTTTCGAGGAAGTAGTGCTCTACAATTTTAAAATATCTCAGAGCCAAGCTGTCAGCCTCCTATCTGCCTTCCGACACGTCAAAGTGTTTACTTTTGGTGCTTGCACATTAACCATAAGTTCGGTTCCTGATATGGAGGACCTCATGAATGATTCACATATTACAAGATTGGGGTTGGGGAATTGAGGAAATGAGAGTCATGGAAATTGGAGTAAAGACAGCAATTGTTTCCAGAACTTAATGGCTGGATTGGCGAAGTCTAGAGACTTCAAAACTAATATTCTAATGGTGAAGATGTGGGATAGTGATTTAGAGAAAAGTAACAGAAGGACCATTCTGGATAACTGTGGACTCAGGCATGTTGAGACTTAAAGTTAATTGATTGTAAAATGTTGGTTTGAAGAGTTTTGGGTTTTCTAGATTAAATTTTATTTTGTGTAATGTTGTGGATTTTTATAACCACTTTCAAATTCACACTTGTTCCATTTCAGTTGTAAAACTTGCTGTTACAGGCTGAGGAGATAAGGGTGTAAGGGAGAACTTGGAGGAGTAGGCACTGAGGGGTGAAGGGAGTTGGGGAGGAGGAATGAGGAAGGGGGTTGGTGGGGTTAGGAAGAGATTGGGCGTTGGGAGGTTAGGGTTGAATGATTGATATGGTAAGTTTTGACCTCTAGTATGAATAAATCAGGAATGTTTTAAGTATTTAGCCTTGACATTTTTTACAATTTTGAGCTTATAATACAACTTCTAAAATAAAATAGGGGTTTTGGGGTTTTGGGGTTTTGGGG